TATCCCACTAGGTGGGGTCGGCTACATGGATTGCAAAACGCCATTGTGCTCTATCATTTATTAAGCTTTTAGAAATATTATTAATTAAGAGATCACGTTCAACAACTTCCAATAGTGTTCTCTTAGGCCTTCCTCTACCTCTCTTAATCGGACTCAAAGTTATATGTTCCACTCTTCTCACTGGTGCCTCCCTTGGTCTTCTTTGTACATGCCCAAACCATCTCAACCGATTTTCTACCATTTTTTCCTCAATAGGTGCCACCCTCACTTTTTCACGTATGTGCTCATTTCGAATTTTATCTTTACGTGTATGTCCGCACATCCATCGTAACATTCTCATTTCTGCTACTCCAACTTTATGCTTTTGCTGTCCCGTTAGAGCCCAGCATTCACTACTATATAACATTGCCGATCTGATAGCAGTACGATAAAACTTTCCTTTAAGTTTATTAGACACCTTACGGTCACAAATAACTCCTTTAGCTTTTCTCCAATTAAACCACCCAGCTTGAATTCTATGTGAAATATCTCCACTGATTTCGCCATCATTTTGAATAATGGCTCCCAAATATCTAAACTTTTCCACTTGAGGTATAATTTGATCTCCCAATTTCACTTTCAAATTATTTTCGAATAGTCCTTTACCAAATTTACAATATAAATATTCCGTCTTACTTCTACTCAGACGAAAACCTTTCGACTCCAATGTCCTTCTCCATAACTCAAGTTTGCAATTAACCTCTTCTCTTGTCTCTGCTATAAGAACTATATCATCCGCGAAGAGCATACATTTCGGGATTTCCTCTTGAATATGTTCCGTCAAAACATTTAAAATCAAGTTGAACAAATAAGGACTCAGAGATGATCCCTGATGTAGTCCAATCTTTATAGGAAAATCCTTTGTTTGACCACTAGGCGTTCTTGTACTAGTTTTTACCCCCTCATACATATCTTGTATGGCTTTAATATAAGCAATCCGTACTCCCTTTTTTTCCAACGCTTTCCAAAGCACTTCTCTTGGTATACGGTCATAAGCTTTTTCCAAATCAATAAAAACCATGTGTAGATCTTTATCTTTACAACGATACTTTTTCATTAGTCCCCTTAGTAGATAAATTGCCTCTGTAGTTGATCTACCTGGCATAAAACCAAATTGATTCTCAGAAATACTTGTCTCCAATCTCAACCTGTGCTCAATTACTTTCTCCCACAATTTCATTGTGTGGCTCATGAGTTTAATCCCTCTATAGTTAGTACAATTCTGAATATCTCCTTTATTTTTATAAATAGGAATTAATGTACTTCTCCGCCACTCATCAGGCATTTTCTTGGACCGTAAAATCACATTAAATAACTTAGTTAACCATCTCACCCCTTCTTCACCTAAACATTTCCACGCTTCGATAGATATACAATCAGGTCCGTTAGCTCTACCATTTGCCATTTTCTTAAGAGCTTCCTTTACCTCCTTATCACGTATTTTTCGATAGAATGACAAATTTTGTTCTCCTTCACCAGTTACTAAATCCTCCAAGTTACTTGGAAATAACACACTTTAAAATAAATTAAATAATTATTTATATATTTAATATGCAGGAACAAAACAAATTTTAAAATAGAATATATTATTATTTTAATTTACAAAGAATAAAAAATGATATTTTGAGTACATAAAAATAAATTATTTTTAAATTTTTATTTTTTGTTTTCATCTTCTAAATATTAAAATATCTCGTGCATCACGCACAAAAAAATAAATCTAATCTTTATATAGAACCACATTTTTTCTGCAAATTTTTCACAATCATGCAGTGTAAAATGTAAACGAAATATTATAAGGCCCAAGGAGATAATAAGAAAAGTCCATTTAGAAATAATCATAATCCTAAATGCAAGTTCGATAATTCGTTTGAAGTTTTTCATTCACTTCCGTTTTAAATGGTTTTTCAAGATGAAAATGATTTTAAACTGTGAAAAGCATTTTGTGATTTTTTTTCCAGCTTATTGTATTGTATATTTTAATTCAAATTCTTGTTTTCAACGGAGGGTTTCTTAATAGAACATTTTTTTAATGGATATCAACCATTATATTTGCGCGCTTGCGTGTGCCTCCATTTTCTTAGGGAAAAGTTCCGAGTTTGTGTTAATCTTTTTAATAATACTAATAATAGTGATAATTGACTTGACGTTAAATTTTGATGTAACATTATTTAATTTTTGAATTAAAAAATTATTTTATTATCTAACAAAGATTATATAGATAGCATAATACTCCCATCATTTTAAATTATAACACACTTTTAGATAAAATCTCACATATTAATAAATCTTATTAAATATATTTAACAACTTTATTTTTTTAAAATAAAAATACAAAACTTTAGAATATTCACCATTTAATATATTAAAAAGAAAAAGTGATGAAAATTAATTATAAAGAAAGAAAGAATAATATTAAAATAAGAGCATTTTATAAAATATTAATTTATTTAAAGTATTTTATATTTTAAAATAATTTTTTTAAAAATATTTTATAACCTGAGAGGAAGGAAGTATCAATTTCTGCAAACAAATAAACATAGAATATTTAATTTAAGGCAAAAAATAAATGATATTAAACATGCTGCGATTCTGCGAATCAGGGGGGAGAAAGACGTTGCGGAATGCTCACGGGATCTAAGAGTATGCTTTGGAATATTAGGCCACGTGGGTGTTGGAGACTAACTACTCCCCACAACTTCACAAGTGGACATCTTACTTTTCGTATGAGTGTCTTTTTAGATAGCCATTGTCGGCTGTAATATCTTTTTGAGTTGTTTTACTTTTTGTAATTAAAAAAAAAAAATCTTACTTTTTGTATGTTATCTGACTTCTCCAAATCGCCCCTCGTCTTTTTCAAGATATTTTAGTGCAACTGCAAATCATAGCTGATTAGCTGTTGCATATATGACCTTTTTGCCCTATGAAGGGGGACTTTTTGCGAAATATTCGCATAATCCTAATTATGGGGTGAAAAAGATTAATTTTACCGTTCTTAAAAAGTGATATTTGATATTTAAGTTTTCAAATAAAAATATGTGACTTTCTAATATTACCATTCACTGAGATCAATAAGCACGATAAAATGTTGTATGGAAATTAAAAGTGTGCCAACACCTTATTGCAATTAAGGAGGGATAAGGTTAGAAAAAAAAATTACTATTTTCTTTATTTTCAAATATAAAATAATTTCAACTAACTCATACATAGTTTCAGAAAATTGATTAATCGAGTAATTATATTTGAAATTAAAATATTTGAACTAAAATGTCTTTGTAGTTAATTTGTTTTCTTCTAATTTAATAATACTATTCATTTGTTAGGAACAAATTAAGAAAAATGAAATCAATGCTTTGTAGAAGTTGTAGTTTTGCTTATAAGGTAGTTTTTATTATATTTAAAAATGGAAGGATTATATCTTGATCATATATTTAGAACTAAGTAGAGTTTTAAAATTTTGTTCTATGATTAAGACAATATGATGTGTGTGTGTGTGTGTTTGTTTGTTACATGAGATTCAACATTTCAACCTTAAATTTTTATTCACATGCATCTCACTTTTCTCTTATTATATGAGCTACTCAAAATAATATTACTTCATGCTATTTCTGGGTCATAACGTTATCAACAAAAGTTCCAAACCTCAAAATTTAGTTATAAAATAAATTTTTTGTCAAACACACGTGCAGGAACAGAAAAAAACTTGATCATATCCATATTGAAAAATTTAAAGTCACGCAAAAAATATACAAAAATGATTTATTCTAATTCTGTTTTTTTTTTTGGCAAAATGATTTATTCTAATTCTAATGTAAGATATTTATTCAAAATTTTTCTTTCTTCCTATTCTTCCATCCTATTTGTGCTCATTGTTTATTACTCTTCCTCTCACCTGAATAGTATTTAGAGTTGTTTTTTTTATATCATATGAATCGAAGTTTCTTTTTTATTTTTCTTTTTTTTTGAATGATAAGGCTTTGGAAAAGCTGCGTAAATTCGAAAAATTTTAAATTGTCATAATTTCTTCTATATGAAATTGAAACCCCTGCCTATTGGTTTCTTTCCTTGTAAATTAGCCAATTCATATGTTTTTGAGGTCTAGGATGCCTTAAATATAATGATAAATATTTTTATCGACCTATCTATTTATATTATATTCACAATCAATATTTTAACTCTTACAGTTTTTCCCAATTCATGAGATCAGTATAAATCATTTTAGTTGTTTCTTAAAAATAACTTAAGAAAAATTAAAGAGTTGTTTGGCAACTGTTTTAAGAACAGTTTTCTATTTTCTAAAACAAAAAAAATAAAAAAATTTATTTAATAACTTATTTTTAAAAGGTATTTTAGAGAATAAAAAAAAACTTTCAAGTATTTTGAGACTATTGTTACAGAGAATAATAAAAAATAAAAAAAACACTTATTTTTATTATTTTTTTTAAAATATGTTTTTACAAAACACTAATTCTCAAAATAATAAAATAAAAATAATTTTAAATAGCCCCTATTATTTGATTCTTTAATTTTAACGTTTGACTCAATTAAAATTTTGTCTATAAATTGAACTCAGTATAACTCATTGTCTATAATTTTAACTAAATTAAAATTTAATTAATAAATTTTAACTCTTGCAACTCTTCCCTATAATTTTATCTATTTAAAATGTTAGTTTATATATTTTAAAATTAAATTACAAAAAATAAAGTTATTATTAAAATTTAAATACTAATATTTTAAATGACTGTAACTATAAAAATTAAGTTGTACTAATTAAAATTTAAAAATTAAATTATAATTGAATCAAATTATTAAAGTTGAATTGCACAAGTTAATCAAGTTACAAGGAGAAAACTAAATTATTAATTTTCGCAATAATTTATTTCCCACCGCAACGGTAGGCCGAGAGCCAGAATCAGTCGTCTTCAAAATCGTAGCGAGCTGATCAAACGAGACAATACTATATATAAATCCACTCGTCCGTCCGTCGACGACTCCGCATCTCTTCGGAGGATCTCGTCTTTTCTTCATCGTTAAGCTCTAACCGAGTAACTGCGAAATTCGTTTCATCTAATTGGAATTTTCTACACTTGCCTTTTTTTCCCACCTTCCCCTTCCCCTTTTTCTTCATCTTCTCCGTCGTCGTCGTCGTCTTCTCTTTCTCCTGTATTTGGTTCCCCCCTTCCCTGTTTGCGATAACTTTGCCCGCCCCTAAATTTCCTCGCCAGGACAAATTTCTAAATAGATTGCATGTTGCAAGAAGAGTCTCCATCCGAGGGTTGTTCTTAGCTGGTGGTTCTTGGATTTCAGGTTCTTCTTTTCATATTATTTGGAATTTTGTTTGACCAGTGTTGGAGGCTGTTGGGATTCTATTTTCTTTTGAATTCGATATTCTATTGTGCTCTTGCATAGGCTGCTGTTTGGGTACAAAGAAAATTTAGTGAAGAATCTTTTGTTTCTCACGTACTTAATTATCTTGATTTTTCCCCAATATTTTTTCTTTCCTGTTCTTATCTTGGAAAGCATCGAATAACCTACGAAAATTTCTTTAATGGGATTACGCAAACGTTTGTCTATAACAGAATGTAGCTCTGTTAATATATTTCTTCATAATTATAGTGTTTGCTGTTTAATTCACTTTGTTCATCTGCAGAGAATGGCTGGCCATCATGCGAAATATGACGATATGGAAGAGTCTTCTGGATTAATGATGGAGAACCATCGAACATGTTCTGCGAGGGCGGGGAAGGGGAAACGATTGTGGAAGAAGGTGAAGTACCAGCTGGTTGAGTACCACTGCTTGCCGGGTTACTTGAGAGACAATGAATACATTCTAGGTCATTACCGATCAGAATGGCCCTTGAAGCAGGCGTTGCTCAGTATCTTTAGCATTCATAATGAAACTCTGAATGTTTGGACGTAAGACTTCGTCTATGCAACTATTTAATTAGTGTTTCTCCCTCCTTATTCTTAGTACTTCTTGGTGTAGCTGATGAAAATATTGATAATTTATTAGCTGAATCTAAAATATTTTTAATTTATCATCGCTTATATGATATTGATCTCTTATGTCTTGTTTGTACATCTTAGTCTAAGTTGATTAAGGTCATCAAGAGTTAGTTGTGTTACGAATTTCCATAAATTATGATGTGAAGAGGGATGCAGTGCCTAATTACGGACACAACTACTATATATGAACTCAACTGCAATGGGGCATTATGAAATTGTGCCTTAAACGCAACTTTTTTGCAAATTACTTGGTACAGCTGCAGAGGAAGAGAGTAATGTGTTACTAGTTTGAAGTTGCGTATTTGAACAGGAAAAGTTGGATTATTGGATGTGGCCTTGGCTTTTTTTTTCGCAATAAGTTCTGCATATGCACTGCTTCTTCTCATTCATTATATCCCAGGGATGTATTGCGTAATTGTATCAATTCAGCTTTCCTCCATTATGTATTACAGAAGCAAACTGATTTTAATTTAAAACTTCTTTCTGATGCAGTGGCTTGAAACGTTAAGCTTATGGCATGGGCACTCCAGAATTTAAATTTACAATGTATCATATGCCTTGCGGTTTCAAGGACTAGAAAATCCCACTCTTCTGTAGTCACGATCATTGGAGAAAGGATTAAAGGAGGCTTAAGAATAAACATGCAATTGTCTAAATTCCAGTAACTTTAAATAGTCTATTTGCTCTGTCTTGCTGTGTGGATGATAAAATTTTTATATGGTGAACACTTGAGAAAATGATTATTTTGTACACGTGGATTGTCCTATGCCTTTTGTGCAACAACATTGTGCCGGTGCCTGTCCATTTTCCCCCTTTTTTGTTTAGTGTTACTTCTCCTTCTCCTTCTCCTCTCCTCCATTTAAGTGCTGTTAAAAAAAATATGTAAATCTATTTCTTAAAGGTCTTGCTTTGTTCATTTGTTTCTGTTTGTTGTCTATTCCTTTTTAAGAATATGGATCGCTGAGTTATAGTAATTGGTATTTGGACCAAAGAAATACCAGTATTCTTTTTTGTGTTATTTTCTTATTCTTAATCATAAATTGTTATTACTACAGGCATTTGATTGGATTCTTCCTATTTCTGGCATTGACCATATACACTGCCGTGAAAGTGCCAAAGATTGTTGATCTTCATTCTCTTCAGCATTTTCATGGCATTGTGAAGAAGGCCGATCTGCACAAATTACAAGAAGAACTTCTGAAGTGCCTCCCCTCATTGCCCTCAATGGATATGCTTCCATCACTTTCAAGCTGGCATGTAAAGGAACTTCTGTATAACTGTTTGCCAGAACGATTTTCCAGTGGCAATCATACTGATGGGTGTGTTCTGGTAATTGCTTTACAATTACAACAGACTACTCGTTTTTTTAAAAAAAAAAAATTCTTAGTTTACGGGGGGGATCATAAACTTTGATTTCTTATTGATATTTGGGTAATTTTCACTTTTACCTACTTGCCTATAATTTCTTCTTTCAAGGTAGTTCGTTAGAGAGAATACTGATGAGTGATTAATGCAAATATTCAATTTGTATTTGGTGGTTCTTTCGTCAGGGTTACAATTCATTACATATTTAAACGGTTGGAGAAAGCTAGATATCATAATAGAGGTGATTAGGAGAGTGAATGATAATAATAGCAGGTTATCAATGAGAGCTTAACTTCCTGGTGTGGGCCTCCTATTTGCATTAAATTTTATGTTAATTTTGATTGGAGTATGATGTGCATGTGCCCCACATGCAATTTTCATCAGATTATCTAGATGATTGATTGGCTTTAAGGAGCCATTTGCTTATTTGTTTGTTCATTACGTGCAGAATAGTGTGAAGGAGGACTTAGCTGACATAATTGCACCATTGATGATGGGACCAATCACAAGGTGGCCATTTTTTGCATTTTTAGGAGGTGCCATGTTTTGCTTGCTGGCTAGCAGTGTATGTCACCTCCTCTCTTGTCACTCAGAGCGCATGGCATACATCATGCTCAGGCTTGACTATGCTGGAATTGCAGCCCTGATATCCACCTCCTTCTACCCTCCAGTATACTACTCTTTTATGTGCAATCCCTTATTCTGCAATCTCTACTTGGCATTTATAACACTACTGGGTATCGCCACCATCTTGTTTTCTCTCCTTCCAGTGTTCCAAAACCCAGAATTCCGCACTATCCGAGCATCCCTCTTCTTCGGCATGGGTCTGTCTGGTGTAGCACCAATTCTACACAAGCTTTATTTGTTCTGGGGTGAACCTGAGGTGTTCCACACGACAGGGTATGAGATTTTGATGGGCGCTCTCTATGGGATTGGAGCGCTTGTTTATGCTACAAGGATCCCGGAACGTTGGAAGCCTGGGAAATTTGACATTGCTGGGCATAGCCACCAATTATTTCATATATTAGTGGTAGCTGGTGCATACACTCACTATCGTGCAGGATTGGTTTATCTCAGGTGGCGTGACCTTCGAGGCTGTTGATTCTGCAAGCTTCTATGCATATGACGATCGATGCTAGGGGCTAGCTGATAGGTACAATTTGATCAATAATAATGCAGAATTTGCATCTTTAACAGATGTAAATTTATGATATAGGCTTGTTCGTGGGGGGGGGGGGGGTTAGGTATCCCCGGAATGCGCATATTCTATTCTCTATGCACATTATATATTCGCATGAGCAAGTCAGTAATGCAAAAATTTATAGCGTCGATAATATTTGGTCCGATCAAGGAGCAACATGTACTTCGGTGGCTTTTTGTTTGTCTTCTTGTCTGAAAGGCCGGGTATGTTAAGCTTTAACGCTAATTTATTGATCATAGGACCTGATTTTGATACCCTGATATATATATATATATATATATACATATATATATATATATATACATATACATATATTGGCCTGAAACCCTGGTATATTTTCATTAGAAGAATATTTAACTTCATTGCCAAATAGAAATATTATTAAAAAAAAGGAACTAAGAAAGCAAGAAAGAATTATAGTTTTCTTCCAAACAACAATGCTTTAGAATTACAACAAAAGGAAATAGAATTCATAAAATGCATCGTTCAACTTTTAACATAAAGAATGAGGAGACTTACAAGGAATGCAACACAAATTCAACAAACGCTCTCTATTTCATTATATTTGTCTTTTGAGAAAAATATTTTTTTCATATTCATTTTTTTTAGAATTTCAAAATAATATGTAATAACATTTTTTTTTGTTTTATCTTTGGAGTATTTTATTATTTATTATTATAATAGAGTTTTTAGAGACTTTAAATGAGAGAGGCAAGTTTGGTAAAACATCATATTCTTACATATGTATTACATTTCTTAATATATATATATATATATATATATTCTCTCCATTAAACAATGAAAGATATTTTAAATTAAATCACATTCCCAATAAATTTATTTAAAAAGAATGATGGATTAATTGTTTTATTTATTAAGAATATTTTTCAAATAAAATTATTAATTATACATTAAAAAAACATCTAATTCAAAAAAGAAAATGCTTTGAATTTTTCAACGAAGGATGTAATAACATTAAAAGACAAATATAATAAAATGGAGGGAATGCTGAGATACCTCAATATCATCCACAAGCCTGTACTGGACTCAACAACAGTGTTGACTTTAATCTTGTTTTTAGTTGGAGTTGGAGGTGTTGAGTGCTTCGTTAAAGATCATCGATAAATTCACTAAAAACAAAATCACCAATAAATTACTCCTTTATGTTATATTCAGAAAATAAGAAAAGAAATATTTTTTGATCTTATTTATGAGTTATATCATTGATTTTTTATCACAGCTTTTTCCTTTTAAATTACTCCTCTAACTCTATTTACAAGGTAGAGAGGAAAAATTAATTTTGGTTTTATTTAATATTTATAGGATACTTTACTATATTTTTTATGTTTATCTTTACATTTTTACCCTTATTAAATATTAAAAAATTTTATTAAAAATAAATTTTTTGTTCTTATTAGGAGGCAAAGGTGAAAATTTGTTAAATTTTAAAGTAAAATTAATGAAATTTAATATTTTTCTTGATTCTAGTAAAACTTCTTGCAATGACATATAAATAAGATTAGAAAGAGCATTAAAAATTGGTGAGAGAACATGTTACTACAATTTTTATTTTTAATATGGAAAAAATTAAAAATTTATTAAATTTTTAGATAAAGTTAATGAGTTTTAAAATTTTTGTTAATTTCAATAAAAAAATGTTAAAAGTGACTTAAAAATAGAATTAAAAAAATATTTTTTTTCATTTCGTCACTCAATATCCTGAGAAACCCAAGGGTATTACCACCTCTCGCCTAGACTAATCCAAACCCCTATTATGTAAAACCATTATTATCAATAACAGCCTCAAGGATACTTAAAAAATGTCTTTGATATATTTATTTTACCTTCAAAACCATAAAATAAATTGATTCCACTGCCTCAACCACTTAAACTAAGTGCCTCTCAACATTTTTCACTTAACATTATTGCTTAAAGATTATGAAATGTAATAAATATTTAAAATGGCATACTTTTTAAATTTATCCATGATTTATTTAATACTTTAACGCCTCTCAAATTATGCACGATTAGTAAATATTTTTTGTAAGTGTTAAAACATACCCCACCCCGGGTCACAATAAAGGGTATTGGACTATCGGTAACTATTATACACATGTGGTTCTAAAAAAAAATTAGATGAAATCTTAATCTATTAAAAAAATTTATATCTTTTTAATTATATTTTCATTAAATATCCTATATAAGTTTCTTAATAATATTATTTTTTTAAAAAATAATAAATAAAATAGGGATATAATTAAAACACAGTTATAAAAACTATCTAATATTTTATATTTTAGACTAAATAAAATTTTTAGGAGATGTTGTGGCATTGATATAGATCGAGTGACTAAACAAGAAAAATGTCATTAAATGTTACTCCTTTCAATTCAAAATATAAATATTTTTTGTTGGATATTATAAAATATGTTGAATATTTCAAAAGAAATTATTTATAAATAAATAATATTAATTACCATGACCCCCTATGTAAATTTATTTATTTAACATAATTATTTTTGTAACTGACTTTTAATTGTGATTAAGGTAATTTTATTATCCAATTTTTTTTTGTCATTCCCTATAAAAAGCAGTGGTTGCCATAAGTTTTGTAAGAGAGTCTTTGAGCTTTCAAGCACAATCTCCCCTCCTATCATACTGCTTTATCTATACTGTTACCTGAATTTATTCTATGAATTTTTATTGTTTTGTGTCCTTGCTTTTTGCATAAAGAGTTTGTTTAATCCTAAATAACTACCATGTGATCAACTTGATATAGTAGAATAGCTCTTAAGGACAATATCTTTAGATACGAATTAAACTATGATTTTATCTTCTGTTGCAAACAATCTTAAGAGCTGTTTTCTAGCATGTTAAATGGACAATGATGAATAATGACTATGAACACCAATAATGCCAAATTTGCCTCTAAGTCTGGACTCATTTAAGATCTCATGGTGTAAACTTCGAAGAAACATAACCCAAAGGGTCAAAACAATTTTATATTATGAATAATTAGAGTCGATAATTTGAGTTAAGTTTGACTGGCCAACCCAAACCCGCCCAAAAAAAGTAAGCCCAAGCTTGGCTATAAGGGTTTTTTTTAAGAGAATAGGATACTTTAAGCCCAATCTAAATAAGTCAAGCACAAATTGTGCCTAACCCGAATAAGCTTGACTATTGGAATTTTCAACTCCATATGTATATAGAGTTGGCAATTTTGGCCAAGTCCAACAAGCCAACCAAAACCTGACTAAAAAAGTTAGAGTCGAGTTTAGCTATATGAGATTTTTTAAGAGGGTTGAATATTTTAATTCCGATCCAAATAAGCTTAGTTCGTCTGAATTATTGGCTTTATGAATAATGAACTATATTGAGTTAATAAAACATAGTACATAAACCACACATTTATACTAAAATATAAAAACCTATCTAATCCCACTAGGCTTTGCCTAATATTACAAACTAGATTGGGCTTAACAATAGGCACCACATTTTAGGTGGGGAGTCCCAATAGAAAAATTGATGGCAACAGTGGAAGAACATGGAGAGAAGTTCTTGACAAAGAGGGATAGTATGAGCATTGAATTTAACTCACATCAATAGTTGGACATGCCCATCTAGTTTAGTGCCAACTGTAATATCCTAAATTTTTTTTCCATGATTTATTAATATAATGAAGGGTAATTATAAAAATTTAGCTATAATTAGAATTGAGGATAGTTTGAAATGTCTATTGGGTTTGGTTTTAGCTTTTGGATTGGGTTTGAAAATGAATTGGGTCACCCAGGCTTAAATTGTAGAGAGAAATTAAATTTTTAGCTACTATGCATTATGCTGTAGCATAAAAAATTATGCCACAGTATAATTTTTTGAACCAATTTTTAAAATGTGAAAATCAATTCAAAAAATAGAGTGTGAGACATGAAATAAAAAGGGGGCGATTGAGAGAGTGTTTTCTCTAATAGGGCATCAACTCTTGGACATTTTGGAGGTGTTTGAAGCTTGGTTTCACGTAAATATGCCTTCTTTATCTCTTCTTTCCTCTATATATTTTGGAAGTGAGATTTAAGGTTGGGAGATGATGATTTTTAGATTTCAAATTATAGGTCCGAGCCCATTAGTCTAAATGGGACAAATGAGAATTGTTTAAATATTTTACACATAGTTTAGAAGTTTTTATAAGGTTGTAAGCTTGGGTCATCCATTTTGGATAAACCCTAGACCTCCAAAGCATGATTTTGGATTTTTGAGTGTTATATTAGTAATTATTTAAATTAATGAAAGCTAAATGGAGTTAATGAGAGTTAATAAACCTAATGGTTATGCTTGAGTGCAAGATATTGGACTTTTGGGCAATTAAAGTGTTGATTTATGAAAGTTGGAAGAGTGTTTGTAATTATTTTAATGATGATTGATATAATTAATTGTAGATGAATCATCTTGTGCGCCATTCAAGCTTTGGTATAACTTGTGAAGAACTTTTATTGAAAGTAAACCCTTAACCTTTCAAAGGTTTGAGGTAATCGAGGGAACCTAGTTTATATAGTTGAATGTTAAAGTTGATTTGAAACATATTTAATATTTTTAAACTCATAATGCAAATTTGAAAATGGTTAGTGATGTGTTATTGTTCTAAATTATATGTATGTTTATATACATGCTATTAGTGAAGATGAATGAGAAATTGTAATTATGTACTAGTTGGTGTATGGAGTGAGTTAAGTGTGAGTATGGATATGTGGATTTAATGTGGTATAGGTAGCAACTATTGGAATTGGGAGTGATGCTACTGTCGAATATCACCAAAATTAATAAAAAATAAATTTTATAGTAAAACACAACTTAGGTTGTCTCCCTAAAAGTCAATAGAGTAATTATTTAAATTATGATTATGAAAAGCTAAAAAGTGAGGGGGTTTTTTATGATGAAATTAAAATTAGAAATAAATAAATAGAGGAAATTTAACTAAGAAAATTACCAAGCACAAGCAACGCAATCAATCACAACCCAATCACCTAACTTTAATCTTCCTCATTCGTAAATTAAATTAATTTTATTTAACTTTATTATTCTAGTTTTATTATATATTTTTCAAATTATCATTCAAGAATTAAATAAGAAATTAAGTTAATAAATTAATTAAAATCTTCCTTAACCCACAATCTAACAACTATTTTATGTTAGCCACATCAGAAACAAAGCATGAGTAATCACTCAAGCCAAGCTAAATTGCTCTTATGTTACTATATCA